TAACAAGCCTAAAATTAAACATTATACATGTATTTGGGACTTCTCTTTTGCAAAAAAAGAAAAAAACCCAATATACACCTATTATTTTCGAGATTTTGGGTAAGACCTTATTGACTCAGAATTTTTGAATCGGCGTGTAAACTTTCAGGTGAACCCTTACCTAGTGACTGACGACACGTGTCCATGAGCCTTTCCTGCTTCAGGGCTTTTTCTTTATTCATAGCATCTCTCAACTGTAGGAAGCAAATACATTGTGTTACTGTTTTGGAGAATAAATAAAGCTGGTTTTCCACTAGGCAAATTTATTTGCGAGAATTGAAAATGTCAGTTCACTTTCTGAGCTGTGGTTGGTTGCGAATTTTTTGGCTTCGCAAAAAGTAGAAACCGTTCAAACTACTGATTTCAATGAAGTGAAAAACTGATAGAAATGTGAATACGCATGAACCAAGACTTTGCGTGAATAAATTTGCTTGGTGTGAAACTGGCTTAAAACAACTATTTTTTTTTTCTGGAAAATATCATATGTCGGACAATCCACAAACAACAGTGCATATTTACTAAACCCTGCATGATCCAAACTAGTACACATTTCAATGTTTCAGGAGTACACGTCTGCCATTAATTATCTGAACATAAGTTGTTTTAAAGTTAGTTTCATGTGCACACATTTAGTATTGATGCAGTCTCTTCAGATGTAAATAGATTTTTTGTAAAAAAAAAAGGGGGGGGTGGTGGGAATTAAAACTTAATCCATGAGCATATATATTTTATATTTTGATTTGTTAGAAATACATAAAAAGTGAGGTTTAATTTTACGACTTTACCTAGTCATAATGTATTTGGTTATTATATTAGTATTAATATTGTATTCCAATAATTTAACAAAAGTTCTTATATTTATTTTTAAACATTATCAAAGGGAATAAAGAAAATAAACTATGAATAAGTTGATTTCCAACATTTCCATTTCAACATAACTACAAGTACTTTGGTATTAAAATGAGAACAGATAAACTTTATAATTATTATATAAACTACCCTTTTAATATAATTTATATATAATGTAATATGCTGTTTTATTATCCATATATTTATACATATGTATGTTCACTATGTGATTTACATGTATATTCCTATACTAGTGCAACAGTTATACATTTATTATAGAATGTACACATTTAATATGTTTTATAAAGTACAATATACTGTTTTATTATTAATACGCCTATCATATATATAACATTGTATGTTCACTATGCGATATACCGGTACATATGTATTGATACACTACATACAGTACCATCAACTGCACATAATATTACTCAGCGAGCTCACATATTCGTAACCTTGTATGCAAATACGCTCTAGAAATTACTATAGTATACTAATAGATATTCCATCCATGACTCTATCAACCAAATATACCATAGTTCAGTGGCATACTTTATATTAGGAGTTGAGCATATCTACTGGTGTTTTGCAATCCATAAATTAATAGCCCTATAGAGAGGAAACGACATGGTAAAAATCTAATGCAGGAAGCTAATTGTTGGAATTCTTTTTGTTGGTTTTCTAAAGACACACAACCGGAGAACTTGTACTTGGCATTGTGGATTAAACACTTCATTATGTGGTTAGTTTTGCTGGGAAGAAAGTTTAGTGATTCACAGTACACTTTAAAAGATAGCCAAACAATATTCTTACCTTGGAAATGCGTTATTGTACAGTTTCATTTTAATTGAAAGTAAAATGTTCAAAAATCAACCTCTACGATTGATTATAAGGATTTTAACCGGAAAGTTTTGTACATTGTACATTAAAGAAATTTTTGTCCATATTCCAAGAGACAGGGAATGTTTGTTCAGATATGTCTGCAACAATGATACACTATAAAACATGACAAGATCAAACTTGGTTTGTTTCTTCAAATAAGTATGTATGCTACCAAACAAAATCTGATCTATTTTCTGCTGTAGGTGATTTAGTACTACACAGTATTTAACCAATCCATTTCTAAAAATTTAAATTTTATATTTTAAAATCTGTTCAAATATTTCCTAATGAGTCTGACAGAAAAAATGTGATCATGTAACAACTATGCTAAACTTTTTGTTTCTTTATGTAGTATGATAAAAATCTATTTAAAAAATTTACAATGTAACTCATAAAAAATGTAATTCACTATTCATAGTTGACAATTTATGTTGAGAGTAAAGATGGACCTGGGGGGTAAATACTAGTCTTAGATATCAGTGCTGAATTCCAGAATTTGTTTTTCTTTCACCTTTGTTAATTTAATAAAAATTTTCCAATTATAAAGTCTTGTTGGAGGTATAGTGAGAGAATGACAAAACTGAAAGTGCAACCGTTTTGAAAAAATTCCAAATTTTCTGGTATATTTTACTCCCAATCTAAAACTTCAATAGACCTTTCTTCACTGAATACCAAGGCTTGTACAGGACAAAAAAAATGGCCATATACTTCTTGTCAATACTTTGAATTATTATAGTATTAAGAAAAGATAATATTGGAGTTTATTAGATTTCATACATACTTCTGTAAAATTGGACATTTGCCAGGTTTACTCGGAATGGACTCGTGGTTTGTTGGTTGGTCTCTATACTTATACTGATTTCATATGGTGCTAGAAACTTAGTTACAATCTATGAACCACGTGAAAACAGTTAAAGTAGAAAGACTGCCTTTCATGCAAGCATTTCTGTCTGGGTTTTATAGTGGGATTGGAGATGGGATGTATAGAGGGAAGGATATTTAGGCTTGGGGTATATTAAACAGTACAGGAATACTTAGTCATCCTCATCTAATACTACTATAGGGATACCAAGGTGGATAAGTTGAAAGGTCACTTGCTTCATTCATTCACCAGCTAGTTGTCATTATCCAGACACTGCACTGATTTTACATGGTGCTAGAAGCCTGGTTTCAGTCTAACCACCACATGAAATCAGTGTACTGCCTGTTAAAGTTGTACAATACATGTTTGCTGCTCCGGCCAACTTGCTTATTACTGTACCTCAAAAAGGCATAAAAATGCTTCCTTGCGATTCACAACAAAAAGTGTGGTCAAAATGTAAATGAAATGTTCAAGGGATCGAGATGGGTTACATCTGTGATTTTTCTTACTATTTTTGTTTGTTTCTTTTCCTTGTATTGAAAATGAAATTATTTGAAAAAAGTACAAACGCCATTCAAGGTTACCCACCTGTTTTCGTTTCTGATCGTCTTCCTCCTGTAGTTTGTAGTGTAGCTTGTCATTTGCCTGGATCAACTCGTGTTGAAGGTCGATCTTCTTCTGTAATACGAGATGCTTCGAGTCTCTCTTTTGACTTTTGAAGCTCTGCCACTGTTGGTACTTCACTGCATGCTTCTGTTACCAAAAAAAAAAAGGAAACATAACATTTAATAATAATTTTAATTTTAAATTCATGGGGAATATGTTTCAGATATTTTATCAATTTTTTTTTTAAAGATAAATTTCTTAGAAGAGAATGCATATCAAAAATATTACGACTATTTATTGTAATTCCTCTGATAAATTACTAGAGCTATGTTTTAGCTAAGGTGCTTGTCTTCGAATTCCAGGATCCTTGGTTGGAATCTACTGAAAAGTTGACTCAAAGAAACATCTAAATTTGATCATAGATATTTTTTTTAATATGCAGAAAAGATATTTTACTATAGGTCTTCTATCAGATATTAATTTATTCATTTTACAATGATGTATTTTGCATATTTATTTGACCTATTAGTGTAAGAGTCGACTGCCTCCATACAAATTATAATCTAAAGCCAGTCAAAAAGGTACATCAAGGTTATTTGTAATCGTCTTCTTTCATTCATAACTTTCTCCGCACTACTTGACAAATCATGAATAAATAAGTATATATAATGGCTGAGTAAGTGACTACCTTTGCTAATCATCTCATCACTTCGGTAACGTACGCCTAGCTGTATATAATTTTCTGTCCGTCTCCAACGGTTCAATTCTATTTTCTACTAGCGCTGTTGGCAAGTGCATTATTATTATTACATGGTATATTTTTTGCTATATGTTTTACATCCCATAGCCAAAAATTCGCCAGTTATAGAATGGAACAAGATATGAGGTGGGGTTATTTTTTTGTTAAAATTAAATCATGGTGTATCGCGATTTGAACCCAAGACCTTGGATTTGGCAGGCAGACCACCAGGCTACAAATTTTACTTACTATTATCAAAGCCTAAATCTACTCCACATAATAACAAGTATAATTAATTATGATAAATGAGGAAATGGTGTGATAAAATAAGGCCAATTAACTTGGAATGTATTCTGTATAAATTAGTCGTTGTTATACAGACATGATTAATAACTATATGATTTTTATCGTCGAGTTTATCACAAGATGAATTTGCGGCAGAATCGAGGAATAGAGCTGTAATATCAGCGTCGCTTGTGGTTGTTATTAGCGTGGCGTTGTTTGATAATCAATACAATATGTAGCGTAGTAGGCTACAAAATATTGACCTGTTCCTGGGAACAATAGTCGAATAATGCACACAGCCTCTCATGCATCTAACACGCATACAACCCATCTATAAATGTGGCATTCTATAGGCTTGCATTGCCCTAATTTAAATATGAGATTTTAATATTTAATTTTCGGCCATTGATCAGTGAAGCTTTATACAAAGCCCTTCTCATGATCAATACAATTTTTTTTCAACAGTGTATTTGGAAGCATAGAAACAAGGGTTGAATAATATATGCAGTAAACATAGAACACAACAGGTTCAACGATGCATATATGCTTAGCTAATTTAAACTAGGTTGTAACACTATAGATTTCTATTTGAACTGCAGAAAAATACCTTCACAATTATTCAACACTAATTTACATTCTATAAAGCATATTGTATCGAAACTAGTTCTGAGAAATATGATACAAAATTCAGTTTCACTAATTTTGGTTACTGATTTCAAATTTCATATTTAAATATAACATTTAAATAACAAAAATATATAATTATAACAAACAATGAAATAAAATATAATTATTTTGTTTTTATATATATCATCTAAAATCATGCTAGTTTTTATTGTTGGTTTTATTGGTTCTTCAAGTAATAATAAGACCCTTGGACTAAATTTTTTCGTATTTTGAATTTATTATTGAAAAATGTATCTATTCTGTAGCGTAGCATTTAAGATGCTTGGCTTACAATACCACAATCCGAGGTTCAAATCCAGTAATGTACTACAACTATTCTCTCATTACTCATTAACAGCTCCATTCCCTAGCCTAACACCCGATATATATGAGACAACATGTTACACAAGACGCGAGATGCATTCTCAAGTACACGTCCCAAGTAATATCCACAGAAGGAAACAGAGGCTTCTAACATTCAGAAAGATATTTGGCATGGGTATGCGTGCATATTCACAGAGCACAGATATACTTCACTGCGGCATCGCATGTATCCTTACTGCCTGCGCAACAATTATTAATAAATATTATATCAATTTTTTTATTTTATTTAAGATTCAAATTACTCATCGAGTAATCCAAGGTATAAAATTAGTTCTATATTCTGCCAGTTAGTCAACATTTGTGTCTACAAATTTTCATTCTTAAACATTAATGTCCTGTTCACTACTACACAATAATGAATTAATTTTAAAGTAAACCTTAACAGTACTAATCTATGTTATTAGTCAGAGAAAATGCAGTTTCTGGGGAAGTCCCAACATTTTTATGCAAGCCTACATCAAAATCCTATTAAATCGGATAGAAGTAATAAATTATGTAACATAATACTATTTACTAACCTGCAATAATCACACATCAGATCTGAAGAAAAATTTTAGCCCGAGAAAATTTTTTTAACAGCATCTGTATACTACTATGTTGCTGTGTACAGTTTTTTTATACAGTAGTTACTCTAACGAGAACATATAAAAAAAACCTCTAGAAAGTGAGAAAATCAGGAAATGGTTGGGATTACCAATGCTATTAAGTAGTAAACCTTCGTGTGTTCATATTATTAATTCAAATCTAACAGGCTAGACTTGGGTTGTATCAGTAGAATGGTATTTTTATCAGGTCCAAAGTGCAGTGATAATAACTACTTTACCCTAAACAGGACAAGTGAACTTCTTAGTAAGGTCAAACTTAAGTTTGAACATCGCTGAAAATTAAATATTAGATTGCTAAGTTTGTTCATAAAAGTAGCTGACACTCATTAACATGGGGGTTCTATCCTAACTAATTTAATGGTATTTGTGTAGTGCAATGCGTACTTAAGAATTATAAAGCATTTTTCTTTTCATTCATGAAAGGAATCCACGAAACAAAAGCAACTTCAGCTTTAAAATTTGTTTTAGAATTTCAGCCTAGAAACTGTTGAGTCATAGGGAGTATTATTAATACAAACAATGCACGATTTTAACTGTTGTAGAGCACGTGGAACAAGTGAGTAGCATTGGGCTTCAAACCAAATAACTATACCTGAGGGTTTGAGATGGGTAGGCCTAGCTTTTTCAAATGCACTATGGATTGTGGTATCATTATGGATGCTCCCCCGGGGAGTTGAATATCCCCCATGAAGCATAAAATGTTTGATCTGACGACCTGGGTATTATTAATGTGAACAAAAGAGAGGCCCTGGTATTGTATGTAATAATAATAATATTATTAATAATAGAATAAAAAAACTGCACATTTTATACCACCTCTGTGCTTGAAAAATAAAAATAATAGCGTTTGTGTTAATAGTGCTATCATATATGATGATTATCTTTCAATGCCTTCAAATAATACATTTTTTACTAAGTATTGCATTTATATTATATAAATATAATTTATATAAATTTGTATAATTTATATAAATATATTTTATTTATATTTATTTTTTTTTTTATATTTTATCCCTAAAAAAAAATTGTGGTTATTCTCAGGATTTGGACATATGATTTAAGGATTTTAAGGCAAGCACCTCAACCACCAAGCCATAACCCTAATTATCAGTATACTCCCATTTCCGATATGCATTCTTCATATTAATTTAACTAAAAAACATCAATTAGTAGAGTCGTGTGATATGCACACAGAACGAGTGATGATCAAATTTTCGTGCAAGACGTCGGTTCTTCCCTTGGGTTTGAATGAGCTTCAATTTCCTTCTTCAAATCTGATATATATTTTCAAGTTCTAACTGATGATGAGTAAGTATATCTAGATATCACATCGTTGGTAATTTGCAAGTTCTATATGAAGTACTTGTATTTTTAGCATTATTATGGCTATTTATATATATGCACCAACACACAGTGATCACTCAATACATATAAACCACATATGTACTATCATTATGTACACATCAAACATCATAAAATAACAATAAATTACTTGACCTGATATGATTAAACATTTTATGAATAAATTTACATGTATTTAGCAATAATAACTGTTGAATCTTTAAAAAAAAATATTATAATTATTATTATTCATTGGTTGTAGGACCTGATTAAATGGTTTTGCTAATGATTCTCCGTTATAGTGTCAGTGCGTTGGTTTAAATTATCTTGCTTAGATGAGTTTGAAGTAATTTCACAAGGTAGGCTTAGAAATATAGTATTGGGATACAGTCCTAATAATTGTATTCTAGGTACATATAATTACTACAAATGTTATCAATAGCAACAGAGAGCCAAATTCAAAGTTAAGTATGACATTACTATATTAGTTATAATGAGCATTATTTAAGCTTTGAATTTTAGCTGATTTTCTGTGCATGTTTGGTCAAACTATATTCCTCCACAGTTAAAATTTCCTCCACATTTAAATTTATTTCATTTCTCCTTCTAATGGTCAGAGTAATGTCAGCTAAACGTTGAAATAACCAGTGGTTTTACCTCAAAAACCATATTTTTTTACACATGGTACTGTACTGAAAGTTCAATGATATTATTATTGATACTTGGCATGCAAACCAAGATACATTTAAAATGTATTTCTCATGGTAAGATAAATAACATTAAAACTATTTTTTAAAAATATGGTAATTATATATAATAATAAGTCCTATTTGACATATAGTACTCACGTTCCGTTGCTAGAATTGTTCGCAATTAACTAAAATGATTAAACCACTGTGGCATAATTTTCAAAGTTGTGGCTATCCATATACATGGACGAGTGGTTTTCCAGTGAGACTGAAAGGTGTAAACTAAATTGATTTTCCCCCCATGGCCACTCCCAGCGAAATGCTTCACTGAGCGTCAATGCCCACAAAGGAGGTGTTGAGAGCCAGTGGAATTGTTTGTACCAAAGTGAAATACACACTGTTTTGTTATACATAATACTATGGAATAAGAACACTAGC